ATTAATTATATAGATATATATATTTAGATATATATATGTGTGTGAATGAATGAATGTTTATGTGAATGAGTTTGTGAATTAACGTGAATATAATAATTTAGTAAATGAATTAGTTAATTGATGTGAAATGATGAATATATTGCAAAGAAAAGAAACAAAAGAAAGAAAAAAGAAATAAATATAAAAATAATTTAAAATAATAAATTTTGATAATGAATAAAGCCAAAGAAATAATAAAATAATTTAATTTTTTTATTTTTTTCATTATCTTTCCTTATCTTTCAATCATCCTCCTCCTCTACCTCATTATCATCATCTCCACTGTCATCATCATTATATAATTGTTATCAATTATTTTTTCAAAGTATTTGTTCATCTATTCTCGTTATATCTTTTGATCGCTGCTTCAACACCTATTTTAATTCTTTTTTGGAGTACTGTACGATATCCTATTGCAAAAAGAACTTCTAGCCAAACAAATAACGGTGCAAGTAAAACCGCTGAAAAATAAAAATGCTTTGATTAACAACAACAATAACTATTGTCCAAGCCATATACATAAATCCGCATACCTTGAATTATATTATCTTTTAATGCAGGGCTTCTTTTCTCAGCAAATCCATGTCCAATAAATTGAAGAACCCATGAAGTAATATGAACTATTGAGGCAAGTGTGTTGTGGTCTGGAAATATTTTTGAAAAATTCGTAGCATGAAATAGCATATATAGCAGTAATGGAGAATATATTAACTATTTTAATTATTTAGGAAAGAAACATAAAATATAAAGTATTAATCAATTAACCAATCGATTAACAAATTATGATATCTCTTTCTTGAAAAACTCACTCCTGCAAAAGGTTCCAATAAAATATAATAAAAAATATAGAACAGAATGACAAAGAATCCTAAATTTGGTTCAATCGGTATCGTTCTCCATAAAGAATCTGACTCATATGATACTAAAGGTCCTGTGTTGGCTGCCCAAACCAAAGAACTCCAAAAAATAAGTGGAACACACACTACATATTAAAAGTATTATTATTGTTGCGAGTAAAATTTATTTTTACAAAATTTAAAAAGTGACAAATTGAAAAATATATATATATACCAATGTGAATTATGACATTAATCTTATTACGATGATATTGTCCGTAGAATACGAGTTGTTCTTCCAGATTGAGTAAACTCATTTTTTGAAACTAAACTTGGATCTAATTATTATTAATTTCTTTTATTATCAATTGTTAAATTGTTTTCTTCTATTATTTATTATTATTATTATTATTATGTTGTTATCTATGAATTTTATATTTTGAAAAAAAAAATTTTATTTCTTGATAATGCAATTTTCTGTGTAAATATTTGTTTACTTTTTTTGTGATTTTCTCGTGGCAATCATATTGAAAAATATGTGTATATTCAAACACCAAGTTTTTAATTCCTATTGGCTAATTAAAATTTAACCCAGAAAAATTCCAGGGACCTCTCTCACCATCTAATTTTTTTTTTTTAAAAAAAAAAATGGGCAAAAGGAACAGATCAAGTTTATTACCAACTAATCTTCCACAACTTCAAAATCTTATTAAACGTGATTCAATTTCTTATCGTGATGATTTTTTACAACAATATCGACATTATGAATCTCAATTAGATATTTTTAAAATAAAACCTGACGAAGAAACAGAGGAATTTGGAAGTTTGATAACATTTATTTCGCAGGTTTTTTCTTTTTTTCTTTTGATTCTTTCTCTCTTATCAATTAAATCAATCAAGATGTGATAAATTACTTTTGTTTAATCAGGTTGCGCATTGTTTTCCAAACGAAACTTCAAATTTTCCACAACAAATAATTAATTGATTGATTGGTCAAAATAAAATAATATGTTTTCCACTATACAAATATAGATGGATCTATTGTACTATTATGTTTGGCATTTTTTCTTTATTATATATATATACACGTAGCTATATTTATTTATATTTACAATTCAAAAACTTTTGTATTGAAAAAAAAATAAGAAAACTAATAATAAAATAATAAAAGATATTGATCGATCACGTGACAACTAATATTCATTACCAAATCAAGAAACCACTACTCCTTTTTTTCGCTCATGAGATCATACAAACATACACAAGCAAAATCTAAAAAAATGCTTTTTATTTGTTTTTTTATCACTCAGCCATTTTCTTAAAGTTTGAAATAAAACTCGTTATAAACCTGAATTAGATAGATAGACTTTATTTAAAAATATTAGATCGGATAGTTTAAAAATTTATCTGTTGTTATGCGAAAGTGGATCAGAGAGAATTCAATATTTCCTAAAAAATAAAAATAAATCGTTTTTAAAACTTGATTAATTAATTTAGAATGGCTTTAATTGAGAAGGGGGCAGAAAATTGCTAAAAATATAATAAATAACACACGATCTTTTTACAACATCCACTTTACCTTACACACACACAATTACTGAAACAAGTTAATCAAATAATGAGGTAATTTGGTGGCTCTGAAGTATTTTATCAATAGTTATAATAAAGTACCCCGGGCGTTTGTTATTAAATGCTCGGGGACTAGGAATCAAATTAGGTAATTTTTAAATTTTTTTTTAATTTTAATTTTTCATTTTCATTTTTTTTTTTCATTTTTTTCATTTTTTTATTTCTATTTTTCATTTTTCACGCATTTTGTTTTTTTTTTTTTGGGACCCTTTATTCAGAAAACCAAACCATACACGTATGTATGTATACACCATATAATGAATGAATGAATGGAAAATTAAATATCTTATATAATGAAAATGATACACGTTATGCGTGGTTTATTTATAAAATATTTATTACTCGTCAAGAGAGTTTGTCTCATTACTTATTTAATATAAATGGTAAACCAGTGGATTTTAGAATATTTCAGGGTACACAAGTGCGAACTAGTGATTGCTATTTATAGAATAACCACAGCATTTTTTTAATATCTGTCAAAAAAATAATATCATAGATGGATGGGTTAGTTAATAAATTTAATTTCTTATAATTAAAATCAATTGATTAAATAATCGCCACACATAATGGAAAGATATTCAAGTTTTCTGACAAGTTTTTATTCCCAGTCATTAAGAGAATTGCAATTGTTTGTTATGTATGAAAGATGGTTATATGGCTGTGAATAACAATCGAACTGACAAATCGTCCAAGCCTAATTTGTAACCGATTAAATATGCCTTTTATTTATCTATTTTTTTCAAGAATATTGGTTATTATTTGGATTGTTTGATGTTCAATCAAAGAAAGAAACAATTTAAAAATGAAGCTTTTTTTGATAGAATTTGTGCGATACCGAATCTGATTTGGCAAGAAAATATTATTTTTTGCTTATTTATTTATGTCAAATGATGATAACTCTAATACAATTTAATAAAATTACTTTTTTTGTAAACTAAATCAAAATAAATTAAAACAATTTAAAATAGACAAATGGTAATATAGTAGGCAATATATAATATTTATGTTTATATTTTATTTTTATTTTTTATTTATAATATAATTTTCACATTAGATTATTCATTATTATAAATAAATAAATATAAAAATAAAAAAGCCTTTTTTTTCATCATAGATCTAAACAAATAAGCACAAGGATACATACGTATATAAATAAACACACATAACAACACGCTATTACATATTTCTGCATCATCATCATTATAGTTATTATTGTTTAAAAACTATTAATATTCATTCATGTCTATTTTATATATAAATTATTTATAGACGATTTTTTTTTTGCTTAATTAGACCATTTGTCGCACAAACAATTTATTTTTTTATTTTTAACATTTATTTATATTTTTCAAATAAGCTTTTATTTATTGTTTCCTTTTTGATTGCAGTGCAACACTTAATTAATAATAATCATCCTGCCATATATTAGGTAATTTTTCCCCGTTTGCATGTATGTGTGTGTGATATTTAAAAAATATAATGTTGTAACACACTTTTTTTTTTTTTTTAAAATATTTTTTGTACTATATACGTACCTATCCAACCTCTCTATACGACCAAACACGAGTACTATAAGTCTAAGCCTCAACGTCGCAAAAAACTCTTGTTGTGTATCTGTAATAAGCTTTCAAGTACATTACGGTCTTCGTTTACATCCCCATCAATAGTTGATTTACAAAATGTACGTCTAAAGAAAGGTCTTTGGAATTTGTTTGGTGTGTCCGCATGTTTTACTATGTTTTACTAATGTATATATTCCTCGGTGCAGATGACCACATTGCAATCAAGGTTTCTCGCGGGATTTATGGAGCAAAAACGGAAATGCTACCAGGTCCAACATTTGCTTTGCAGTTTTAGATAAAACCATCATCATCATTTTTGACCATGTCTTGTGTTCCACATATCCATTTTTTCGACAACAGCATCCATTCGCAAGATTATGATCTTTTACGGTTATTTGAATAGGATCTCTTTCACCTTGGGTTCTATAATAATGCAAAAATAAGCGGTACATTTTATTTTTGTCATCATTCCACAGTCTACTATAAGATCCCATTTGAGATAGATTCTTTAAACCTTTTGATCTTTAATTTTTAATTTTCATATTAATCAATATATTAACATTGATCGTATGCCGTCTGATCTTAAGAGTTTCTCCGGGTAGAGGTTTTTTTAAAATGACAAAGTTGCATCATTAAAACATTCCCATCTGGGTGATTTAAAATCACTAGGTGATGGTTTAATTGAATCGACTGTAACCCATGACCCAAGATCTAATCTTTTTAGAGTCATTCTAATGACCTTTGGGAACAATGATTTACTGGTTTTGGGCTCATCACTCAGAATGGCTTAAATCTTCTTACGATTGAAGAAGAAGTTTGCCGATTGTGATGACAAGTCACAGCCAACTAGAAAAGATTGCATATGATTTTTTTTAAAAAAAGAAGTTTTGATCGTTTTTTTGCAATTAATATTAATTAATAAAAGTAGACTTATTAAATTGGGGGTTTTTTGGCGGTAGACTAAACAATAATGATAAGGCATTCTCTAAAATTAGGAATTATATGTGATATTTTATCCGCCGGTGACATATTCCGGTTTGTGCAACAGTATTTTTGTTTGGACCTGTGTATTTTCTCCACTTTTCAATATTAATAATATAAAGTTTCGCGAAATAATATAAATACACACAATTTGTGTCTTGTAAAAAAACATCTATAAATATTTTTTCTAAAAAAAAAAAAAATTTCGCACAAAATTTTTTTTAAATTAAATTAATTAATTAAAAAAAAAACAATCTCATCGTATAAATAATAATTAAAAAAAGATTTTTTAATAAAATTCTTTTTCGAATGAAAAATTTAAAAATGAGTAACAACAATAATATTCAAGAAATGGAGGACGTTAAATATAATAATAACAATAACTTTTTTAACATGAACTTTAACTATAACTTTAATAATAATAGTAATAATAACAACAACAACAACAACAACAACAATAAAGAAGATAATAACTCTTTAAAAATGTCCGGATGTAATCGTAAAAGAAGATTATCGAAATTACCAACTCCTGTTATTATCCCACCACCGTCACCTTCTTCAATAATATCAACTTCTTCTTCCTCTTCAACTTCAAATACTTTAATCAACAATGTTGTAAATGGTTGTTTGTCTTCTCCTATAAGCCCCGCTAAAAGTGATTCTTTTTTTGACCTGCCTGCTTCTCCTCGTAATCCTCACAGTCCAACAAAAAGATTTGTATTAAAACCTATAAACGCCATCACTGCTGCGCTTCAACGAACAACAATTACTGGTAAAAACAAATCAATATTAAGATTTCCAAAATCTCCAAAATCATTGTCAAAGACTTTTAACAATAATAATAATATCAATAATACCAATAATAATAATATTAATAATTATGATAATAGCAGCAGCAGCAGCAGCAGCAGCAGCAGCAACAACAACAACACAACTATCACCACCAATAACAATTCATCTAAATCTTATCAAAAGCCTCCAAAATCACCAAAAATTTTATATAAAAAAGGTAGCAATAATTCAATACGTAAAAAATTGGATTCACCAACAACTAGTAGCTTTAACTCGAACATTTCCAATCTAAGTTTAAACTTAACACAACCTGCTACCGATGATGATAATAATAATAATAATAATAATAATAATAATAATAATAATAATAATAATAATAATAATAGCAATAATAATAACAGTGATAGCAATTATAATAGTGATGGCATCCTTTTTTTGACATGATGTACTGTTAAACCTACTTATTATTATTATCCTTTTAAGTAAGATTTGAGGGCAAAGGGTTAAATTGGCTTAACTGTCTTTGCTTCATTAGCGTAGGCACGCCTCGCTAAAGACCTCGCCGCCGAGGTGGCAGCGTGGTTGTTATAACCAGCTTGTCCAAAACGGCTGCTCTGACCAAAAATCTCAACATTAAAAAAAAAATTCCGAACTAACACCTTTTATTTAATAAATAGGTGATGATGACAATGATATAATTTATACCAACAAAGCCATACCAAATCTTGATCGTGGTGTTTTTATTCTACAAACATGATAATATTATTTATAATATTAGAAATATAGAGAACTTGTTCAGATTTATAATCAAGCAAAGGAAAGTATTTTGTTGATAAACAATTTTTTTCTAAATATGATTTAATAAAATATATCTTGAGAAGAATTTGGATAAAAATCAAAGCTTTTTTTTTTTACAAAAAAATCAGCGATGTAAAAGTTAAAAATCACAATTTTTTAAAAAAGGAAAGAAACAGATTATATAAACTAATTCAGTAATAATTATCTTGATTAAACCTGACTTAACATACGACTAAATAGTTTAGTCAGTTTAGACAAGTGCTCATTCGAGTTACGCGGTCAGCCCTCCAATCAATAGGGCTGGGCGCTTTCAAACGGAGTTATAATTACTAGAATTCGGCTTGAAATACCATCACCACTTCTGGCATAATCGTTTATTGGCCTGTTTACTATGTTTCGAAAGACGATGAAATTCTTTAAAGCAAATGTGATGATGGTAATCTGCGATTTTAGTGTATGATGCTGCTACCCACTGATAACATTTATGTTCACCGTTTGCTAATACTGATCTTTCTTAGTGAGACAGTTAGAAAAGTTGACCAGGAATGTCCTCGCATTCGTCCTAAAACTGCACGAATGCTTCCCGTTCCAGATTGCAAATCATAAAGTTCCCCATAAAAAATAAATAAAGCGAATAATAACATATTTCATTGAGCTTAGATTGACATATTTAATAAAATTATTATTATCCATTCTACACCTATTCATCACCCTTTGTGGCCCCTTGGGACGAAAAGCATTGAAATTTTAACTGGTCCTTCAAAAACGGCCCATCGGTCATTCTCTGAACTTTCTATTGTATTATTAACCTTTTTTCGGGTGAAAGAGATTTTAAATCTTGAAACTTCCGAGTGTTAAATATTAAGTAAAACGAATGGACAAAGAAATTTCAAAAGGCTTCAGAGACTGTTTGCTGATCTACCATTGTTTTCATTGAGAAATGAGACAACAACATAATCATATATATCACTATGGGTAGGATTTTCTGTCGAGATTAGATTTTTATTTAGTAAAAGATAAATAAATACTACACACGTATAATTCTTCAAGATTAAGCAATAAATTCATATCTATCTATTGAAGGAATATCTTCATTGTCGTCATCCATCTCTATTTTTTTATTGTTACATGGAGACTTCCTTCAGAAAGATCTGTTGAGGAATTCCATTTCTTAAAAAAAAACCAGCAGGTTTTGAATTAGTTGAAAGGGTTCGTGCTTTACAATTGAAAATATCAGGAAGTTGGTTAACTAAAAAGTGTGATTGAATGACGTTAGGCTAAATCGATAAAACGAGTAAGAGCAGGCCAGAATTTGGTAAGAATAATCCAGTTATTTGATTTATATTTAAAAGACAAAAAAAAAGGTTTTAAAAAACAACCAAACGAACTATATACAAAAGAAAACAAGTCTGATAATTATTTCATGTGGATTTTATTGAATAATTAAAAAAAAAAACTTAGAAGAAAAGAAATTGGGCAAGATCATATTATTGGTAGTACGTTGTGATGTTAACAAGTTTAATCGCGGTAATCCTTTACAGCACAAACGTTCGCTTTGTTGCCATATATTAATATGTAATATGTATGTTACCAAAAATTAAACACCAATTTTCAAAGATTTTGATTTTTTTGGCGTGTAAGAAATTTTGGTTTTTAATTTCTCGAAGCATTAAAAAATATATGTCAATAATTTTAGATGACTAATATTCAGTTATAACTTCGATTTAAAACGTGCACGCACGTATGCATACACTGTGTGTGATGTATAAAAAAAATTTCTCTTTACCTCATTGTCATCAAATAATTATCTGTACTTTATTTACACCATAGTCCCCAATTTATTTATCTAACTCTTGTTACTTAATATAAGTTGAATATTTTACATATTGAGAACTACTAATAACTGATTGATTGACTATCATCCATAAAAATTAGCTGTTAACTCCCGCTGATTTTGCAAAATTAAATGAGTTAAGAATGGAACAAAATGTTGAAAAAATGATTGATGGTGGTGGAAAACGTAAAAGATCACAACTACAACAATCTTCTAAAAGAGAAGAAACAGATGATATAGTTGATTTAAACAATATTGTTGGCCCACGTAAGAAAGCTAAACAAGATTATGAAGAACGTGTGGAATCTGTTAAAGCAGGACGTGAAGGTAGGAAAAAATATGGCGGTGGACCTAAAAATAAAAAAGTTGAAGGTGCAAGCACCACATTTTAATATATTTTAATGTATATAGATATAGATATCAATATCAATATCAATATCAATATATATAATATAATATTTTTTTACCATCTTCTTCAATCCCGTCATTTTTAAGTTTTTCCTTGTACTCTTCTAATAATTCAATCCCTTCAATTTGTTGTCCAGATGTATTATTATTCAATTCACCATATTTTAACGGCTTAAAACCCTTTATGGACATACTAGCAATTTTGCCCTAATATAAAAGTAAATAATTAATAAAATAACTTGTGTATTTGTTATACTATAAAGTTAAATAGTTGGATAAATATTTACCCTATCTCTTTTTTTCAATATTTCAGGATTAATTTCTCTAAATAGACCAATCAATGATCTAGCAGCCATCATAACTCCTTTATCCCTATCGCCCTTGTACTCTGTTAAATCTTGAAGTAATGTTGAATCCATTGCTAAAGGTTGCCTGACACAAACTTCTCTTATACCATTTAAGCTACATATATGGAGAGGAATGAAAGCAAAAAAAACATCATCAATTAATTAAATATACACACACATACAAACAAACAAGCAAATATATATAATTTTTACCCAGCAGTAATAACTTCGGAAGAACAATTGTCGGATACAAATTTATTAGCAACAGCTTTAATGACAGGTTCCAAAACATCAGGTGGCACTAATTCATGACTAGCTTGAGCCAATATTACCAATACCATGGTAACATCACGTTGATGTGGTTGTAAATATCTTAACAAATAACTATAGAAATTTAACAAAATGAGTTTATTTATACCAATTATACGAGATATAAGATTCATCATCATTAATTTAACTTCGAATCTATCATTATTTGATGATTTTTGTAATGACGAAAATAACTTTTCTGCAAAACCTAGAGACAAGGAAATAAATTAATACTATGGTGGTAATGAAATATAGGTAAAGAGTGAGAGTGAGAGAATATGTGCGCATATATATATATATATACACATACACGCACGCACATACCTTGAGGATCATTTATTAGATTTATTGCAGAGAAATTAAAGTTTTCAGCTTTATGT